AGAAGAAGAAGAAGAAGAAGAAGAAGAAGAAGAAGAAGAAGAAGAAGAAGAAGAAGAAGAAGAAGAAGAAGAAGAAGAAAGTTTGATGGAAACATTTCTCCTGTCTAGGGAGTTGAGGAGGTTCCACAGACATGTTCTGAGGGACTTGGGAGTCCTTTGTGGGTCCTTCAAAATGTCCTCCTGACCTTCTCCTGTAGAATACCTTGTTGAAAGATTTAAGATAGAGGAACTCAAGGTCAGGTCTGGGAGCTCCAAAGCCACGTAAACCATGAAGTCAGATCTTTCCAGGTCAAATAGACTAAGAGATCATTTCCACCCAAGTGTCTTCTGGAGCCTTCTGAGCCACATTGGAGGGATGTTGAAGGTATTTTGGACAACGTTAGCTGAACAACTCTAAGGGGAACCCATTTATCCCTAGTGCAAAAGTAAAAAGTCTAGAAAAAAAAGGGGTGATTGATTTATCTGGATGCATATTTTTCAAGAAAGTGGAGAAGAACAGAAGCAGGCTGATCATTAGAAAAAGTTGACTTTTGACATGCCATCTGTAGTTCCCCAAGAAATAGGATAACTCTGAAATTTGCCCTCTAGACAAAAAACCAACCTCTGACCAGTAGCCACCAGTCTTCAGTTGAAGAAGCATCTAACTAGCCACGTCCCTCTAGATGATATATGCTAAACTAGAGGAGAATATTTATAGTTTGGGGTTGAACTGTGGGGTCCTTGCTGCTCTCTGAGTTTGTTGGGTTTTTTCTGCACATGACCCAACTAAGTAACATCTTCAGTGTAGAAGGCAGTGGAGTTTACAGAGAGGAGGAGGAGGAGGAGGAGGAGGAGGAGGACGAGGAGGAGGAGGACGACGACGACCGTGGGGTCCTTGGGGCTCTCTGAGCTGGGTGGTTTTCTTGCAGAGGCTTCATCACCCAACCAGGTAACATGAACAGTGCTGAAAGCTAGAACCTCCACTCATTAGCACTGATAGAATTACCTAGTTGGGTCATGAAATGTCTGCTGGAAAACAACCAAGCCCAGAGATCCTCAAGGACCCCGTGGTTCCACGATCAACTATGACCAACCATGTGGAAGCTGATGGAAGAGAGACCTTCATCACCTGTGCATCACTTTAAACTTCTCTGGGAATTCATACCTCAAGTCATGAAGACAGCTCAAGTCACTAGGAGCTCATTCTCGCTCCTTCTAAATTCCACAAAAACGTTCAGGAGAAATTCAGGAACGATTTGATTCGAAGTCAATATTTGTCAATCACGTCTAAAGACCTTTAATGGGTTGATTAGGTCCATCTAGTTGGGGTTGACTCTTATCCAGCACATAGGTGGACCTTCTCCAGAAGGAAGGATCTTATTTAAATCATGATTTAATCCAGGGGTCTCCAACCTTGGCCACTTTAAGACTTGTAGACTTCAATTCCCAGAATTCCTCAGCCAGCAGAGCTGTATCACCATTTCCATAAACCACACCCTTCCACCAACATCTATAGGGGTTTCCGAGAGGATGTTCTAGTCATCGCATTTTGGAACCATCTTTCTACCTCACCTTTATCTCTCCTTCTTTATTTTTACCCCAAAACACCGAAGGACGAGCGGTGGGAGGTGCTTGTAGACCCCTCATGGCCAAGAGGCCAACGTCTGAGAGAAAGACCAACTCACCCCAACCGAACATCGTGAATCCGCAGAGGTATTTCTTCTCCGAGAAGAAGGCCATGAATATGAGGCTGTGAAGGTAGAGACCTTCCACCAGGATCCAGTAGTAACTGGTGGCCAGGAAGTACAGGAAGAGAGTCACGACTAATTTGCAGCCCACCTGGGGAGGGTAAGGAGAGGAGTACTAAGAGAAAGAGAGAGGGAGAGGAAGAGAAAAAGACAGGGAGGGAGAGGAAGAGAAAGAGAGGGAGAGAAAGAGAAAGAGAGGGAGAGAAAGAGAGGGAGAGAAAGAGAGAGGGAGAGAAATAGAAAAAGACAGAGAGAGGGAGAGGGAGAGAGAGGGGAGGGAGCGGGAGAGAAAGAGAGAAAGAGAAAGAGA